TTAAATAGTACTTAAAAATTAAGCACGAAATAATAGTAAGTTTTTGATGTTGTATATAACAGACTAAAACAAACACAAAAATATATATTACTGACATTTTCTAATTTTTCTAATTTTTCTTTGCGTTGGATTAAATTCTCACGATTTTCAAAATTTTGTATAAATTAAATTTTTTAAATTATATTATATATAAAATCATATCGGTTTATTAATTTTAATAGTTTTTCAAATAATATGTGAAAAAATAATATTAAATTCATGTCATGTATTGACATGATTGATCCTATAGAATAATTTCCGGCTGCTTAAAATGACTTGGCTTCACTGTTTAAATCAGTAAAAATATAACAAGTAAAATAATTTAAAAAAAATTTATGATTGATAAATACATGTAAATACAAAAATTCCTGCAAATTATTTTGTAAAAAAGATTTTTTCTTCATATAAATATATATAAAATGAATGACACAAAGAAGTTATTGGTGAGCATTTTGTATTGTATTTGAATTTATATTAAAGTACACATTTTATTTAGGCTTTATCTTAGATAATACAGAAAAATAATGAAATAAGGAGGAGACGAAGAGTGCTAAATATTGACAAAATATTCAAAATTGTTTATAGCTCTAACTCTTCAGAAGGCAATACGAGATCGTCAATATATTCGTTTAAATAATTTTCAAACTTTTAACATCACTAGTTAACGCTAAATGAGCAGTATTTAACACTATTTTCTTTTTCTTGAAATTATGTTTTATCAGTTTGCTTTTATTATAACGATTGTGTTTTGTATTTATTCATGTATTGCATTTTTAATGAACATAATACAGTAATTATAAATTCTTTAATAAATAATTAACGAATGAAATCTTTTCCATTATTAATCTGTCAGTCATCTTCACAAATTTGCTTAAAAAAAAATAAAGTTTTTAAAATATATAAATTTATTCATTAACATAAATAATAATAATAAACATACTCCATTGTCATCTGACTGCAATTTTCCATGTTCATCCAAAAATTCGCGATTCACAATAAATCAGTTTTTAAATTTGGCACCATTAGCCGTAATTTATTCTTTCAGAGTTGTAAAAAAAACATTAAGTCTGGTTGAAACGTATTTGCATCACTTTTAAAATGTTCACATTTTGTTGTGTTGTGTACAGTATGAAATATAAAAACTGTAAACACTAAAAATCAATTAGTGAAATGAAATTCCAGATCAAAGAATATCTTTACAAGAACGGAAACTCCGCCCACTTCGTGAGAGTGCATTTGAAATTGTTTTTGAAAACTTATTTTTTATAACATTTCGGCACACGTATTAAATACATGTGATCTTACCACGATAACATCAAATTGTTCTCTTTTTGGGGTTGCAGTATAATAGTTTGCTGCTACTTGTTAATCATATGTTAACTTTTCAGTAATATAAAAAACTTATGCTTCCTTATTTGGTTAATAATATTACATTACGTAAACAAAATATATATTGTAGTATTTTAATTTATTACGTTCGGCAACAAACTTTTGTAGAAGCAAATTTTTTAATTAAATAAAAACAAACAGTTTTGAATATTTCTTATTTAGTGAGTTATATTTTCTTATATATTTTTTGAGCCTGTAAAACATTATTTCAAAAACAATTTTGATATAATAGCATTAAATACCGTTTTGATGTGAAATTAATAACAAAGATTGAAGCTACTACCAATTCACTTTTTTATACGGCAGCACTTAAGTGATCCATGATAAATTGTGTTTCTCTGCGAAGACTTAATTTTTAAATTTAGTGCCAAAAAATATGTTGATGAGGAAGGGTGTACGCGCATTCCCTTTAAATGTGTGGTACGTATCATTGCCTTGCATGCATTTCTAATTGATTAGTAGCAATAAATCTGTTGATAAGGGAGGATGTGCGCGCATCCGCTCTAAATGTATGTGGTGAATAATACTTATTATTAATTTACGTACATTAGTGTGTGATCAGTAGCGAAAAATCTATTGATAAGAGTGGGTGCATGCGCATTCATTGTCGGATTTATGAGTTTTTCTTATGAAGATATATTTTTATATAAAATTTAACAATTTTTAAATTTTAATATTGACAAATTTTAATTTTATATTATGATTATAAAATATATTTATATATAAATACTAAAGTATTTAAAAACATTAGCTAAGTTTAATTAAAAGAAGTACAAGTTGTTTACATAATTTATTATTGTTATGAAATGAAATAGACTTGATTATTTACCAGAATTAATGCAAGATTTAAACGAGATATATGCTATACATTTTTAGTTCATCTGTTTAATGAATATTATAAATATTTACATAATATAAAAATTAAAAACATACTTATTTTTTTTTGTGTGTTGTTTATGTAAAGAATATATGAATATTTTCTTCAGAATTTAAATGATCTTAAAAACATAAATTTATTAGGGTTCATGATATGATCATTAACATGTAGCGCCTTATGTTTATGTTTTAAATATTTTAATCTCAATGTGAACATAAAATGCACACTTACTAATATTTTAAAATAAATAGTAAAATACTTTCGTTAAACTGTTTTATTAGAAATATGTATAGAAATTAAATGAAAATTAATTTTCTTTCATCATTATTGTGTGAAAATTTAAAAAAAGAACTATAACAAATTTTTTACATCCCTTGTATTTTCCTATTTCTACATTTAGTTTATTTAGCTATGTAGTTTATTCGACCAAAGTTCAAGATTTGGTATGCATTTTCCACACCACCCAAGAGGTATGCATAAAGGTGCGTTACCGAGTTTATATGTCGGTTCCCCAAGAGGCATATCCACCATTATATATTGGTTATAATTTTTTACAGATTTTTACAAATACAAAATTAACAGAATAATAATTACAATACTTTTAAAAATTAATTGCAAATTTAAATATACATAAACTAAAAGCAAAAAATTATTAAAATAAAAACTTAATTTATATGTAAAAGTCAACTGAATATCATGTGGAAAACTAAGCTTATGAATGCGTTACACGCAAGAGCTTTTGCTTATAGTCAGGTGTATTTAGAACCCTATTAAAAAATTTTAACAGGAAATACATGCGTACCCTTATAAAAAGAGTTAAAATACCGTCTGTTTTGCAGTTTTGACAGCAAACATATGGACGTATATTTTTTAATTTTTGGTATAAAAATTGTGCTATACCTACTTTTTGGTAACTGCTATTAAAGTGTTTGCAAAATTTTAACTACTTTTTGTTAAATATTTGCGCAGTAAATTTTGTATGATTTGGCGCAACGAAATTTTATATTACTCTCAAAAAATCAAAACCAAAAAACAAAACCACACTCTTTCTTACACTCTTCATGGTAAACTTTTTGAAATATTTCGTTCTCAAAAGTACTCGAAGCATCGGAAAAAGGTGAAAAGGTGAAAAATTTCAGGGATTTCAGCTGGTGTTAGTGCACTTTTCACTAACACTTTCAAGAGCTCTACGGCAAATTGTTGTTGTGCGAAAAAACAAATTTTAGTTCACAATGGAGTTGCCGTTCTTGTAAGGTATTCTTTGTTGTAAGGTATTCTTTGTTCCAGATGACTGAAATTTTGCAACATATTTCCAGTAAACATTCACAATAGACCGATTTTTGAATTTGGTTGCACTGAAACTTAAGACGTTAAATTTTTTGTGAGTAAAACCTAACTCTGTGAGTTTTGTTTTTGCTTTTCATGTTAATTTTTAAGCGACACGTGTTCTGATAGAGCAAAAAAAAAATTGTCCAAACTTTAAGCACTTAAAAATATTATCGATATAAATGCTTTGCGGTTCGTTCTGAACCATATCCACGTTCTAAAGGTCCCGGGAAATTGTAGGATAATTATTAAAATTTTGAATATTACAAGTTTTTTATGTATATGAAGTTGGTGTGACCCTTTATTTTTACTTTTTTGGCGCAAAACTAAATTTTTTTGCTTCCAAATTCAAAAAGTAAAAAAAGTATATTTGGATGATATTAACGTCTTAATAATTTTAAAGGCTGTCTGCACTTACTTCTTTTTTTGCCCACAACAAACCGCTATTTGGTTTTGGTGTTATAAAGCACAATTTCTCAGGTGCCTCTGATACGATCATGGTTTTTACAGCTTCGTTTATTACCCACGATTAGTGTCTCTCGAATAAATCATTCCATCGCAGACACTGCCTTCCTCTACGTTTTTTTCTCCAACTTTAAACCTAAGTTTTTGCTAGAGTGTCGACAAAACTCGTATAGCTTTGTAACGACACTGATTTTTTAGTTTCGTTATAATTTATGCTGGGGTATCCTCAGTCTCTTTCAAGGGGTCGGTACGATAAATTTATAATCGCGGAAACAGGACTTCTCAAAATAAAAGTAATGCGGTTAAATTTTAAATGTAGATTTATTCCAAATTTTATTAATTCAATAAAATAGTATTCGAAAAATAAGGAATTTAGTTAAATGTAGTCAAATAAATTTGAGGTTAATACTGTGTTTAAATTAATGAAATAGGATTTTAAATAAAATAAGTAGATAAAGCGTGATTATATGCACTGGTAATGATCTCCTGGTATTCTACTGCAACTGGAGTTGGTTCCTTTGTATGATTGCTTGCTCAATGCGTACGGACTATATTCTTTGGGGTGCTCGGTGAACTCAAGCCGAGTTTCCGTGGTAGTATGATAACTTACTCACTGCGTACCTGTTTGGGAAAGAAGGGTTAGTGGATAAAAAAAAATATATTTATTTGTTTGTTTTTTACTGCGACATCTTATAGAATTTATTATTTTTGGTTGAACTTAATGCAATTTAACTCTTTTGCACAAAAGCTTCCTTGTGCATCCTTTTGCAGCGAATTGCTTTCTGACGTTTTTGACGTTTGCAAATGTTTGTTTACATTTTTACTTTTTTACATGTGCGCGTTTTTTAAATTGAATAAAATTTAATAAAATAAATAAAGTTAGTTAAAGAAATTGGAGTTTAATAATTAATGTAATAAAATTATTTATATAAACGAAATTTACTTTTGTTTAAATAACTCCAAGTGACGCGCGTGAAGTAGTAGTGCAAAGGTATTTATAATTTTTCCCAATTTTGCTAAATGATAATTATATTTAATAAATTCATTTATAAGAATGTCCAACTATTGAAGTATGCTGTGGACGAGTGTGCTGGGAAATGATTCCAGGTAAGTATTTATTTATTATCTCGATGTTAATTTTAATACACTTTATTTCTTGCAGATGATTCACCAACAACAATAAAGCCATTGTATGTAAGTTGGAAATTTGTACAAAATTTCCATCCTTACAGCTTCTAGTTTATTCAGAAGTGGTGATGAACTCTTCACAGAGATTCAAAGATCTTAAGAACTTTTTGCTCGAAAACTCCCAGTACTGCTTCATCATACAATGATCGTGTTCATACTTCTGTACTATACAAAAGAAAAAATAGGATAAACGACCTAATGAGAATATTGATTAAGTTGTATTGTATGTAAATAGAGCACTACATTCCAATCGCCTTTTGTGCCCATAGTAGCACATATTGGGAATGTTAATTCTTCATCTGATCTCTATGTTAATATCGTTGTTGTTAGTCTAAAAATTATGTAATTGATTAAAAAATTGTATTACATAAAATTATAAATTGATAATTGAAAGTAGGAGGCAGAATCATGGATTATTGTTTTTGGAGATAACTACAAAATTTCGTGGTTTATTATCGGATAACTGGATATACGTATGTACCATCAAATTACCATTATTGCAAAATAATATAAATAATAAACATACATTTTTCATTGTTCGTTTGAATAATGTATTTCATGGTGCAAATCAATGCATTACACAATTTGTGCGATGTGATCCTCAATAACACAAATAATAACATATTTTTTTGAAGATTTTCCATTTATTTGAGTTCATATACAAGTATATTTAATACTTTTTTGTTTCGAAATATTTAGTTTCTAACTTATAATTAAAAGTAGATGAACGCGTTGTGAGTGAACCTAATTAAAATTCTCAGACATGATTTAGACTTAAATTTATCTACAATTTTATTTTGCTTATTTAAACTACAATTGATGATAATAATTTCATTTATATAATTATTTATAATATTTATTTACTACTTTTTCAATTCAGATTTGTTCTACTTGAATGGAACAAGTTGTATAATTTTAAACTAAAAATATTTCTATATAAAATCTTGTATTCACCTTAAAATAAATTAGTTTTACATTTAGGTCATAAATTTTTGTTCAATACACATACATACATACATATCTAAATCAGTCAGTTTAGTTAAAAATTTCATTAAACAATTATAATTTCATTTATAAATTATTACTATAATGAATTTTTAAAAAACTTTTACTTAACTTTTTTGCTATATTTTTAGTTTAGAGTAGAACATAAATATGGCTTAAATAACTTATAATTAATAAATTGTTTATATAAAAATAAAATTATACAAAGTAGATATGCGCTCCAAAGAAACCGATTGTATCGGCTTTCAGTTTGTTATTAAATAATTTATTAATTATTTATATTTAAATAAAAAGTGTTAAAAGCATTTACTTCATTTAATTAATAACTTATAACAAGTTAATAATAAATTGTAGTTTTATTAATTCATTTGTTTAAGTATAAAAAAACTAAAGCTAAAGCTAAATTGTAGCTGCATTCTGTGTTGGGTTTTCGTTTAGTTATAAAAATAAATATATACATTTTTAAAATTTAGCACATAAAATAATGAGATTTCGTAAACATTCATGAACACATACAAACATACTTCAGATGATTTTTTGATATTATGTCATAATTTTGGAAGGTTTTTAAAGACATTTTGGACCCAAATGACGAATGTTCTTTAAAACAAATACATATTCAAATTGAAATAATTAAAGAAAATATTTGATTGTGTTTCACATCAAAACTGAAGCAATAAATTAATAAATTTTCAAATCAAAATACATTATTAATTATTATTAATTGAATTTTGTGACACTCATATACACATGTTCAGTGCAAAAGCTTTCATCACATGTTACAGATATTTGCATTTACGCATAAAAGAATTACCATTAATTTCTTAAATAAATTAATTAACATTTTTAATTGCAGTTTTTCATTAAAAAGATTTTCGCACAGAGTCAAACTCAAAAATAAAGTTTGGCTTTCTTTAAAAAATTGAATAAATTTAATTAAATTAAATTAAATGAAAATGTATATAAAAAACAAGTACATAAAATTGTATATAAAACAGTTCAGTCAACATTCACACTACACAAAAACATAATTAGATTAATAATTAATTGCGCTAATTTAATTCTAAAAATATTTTAAATTAAAACAAAAATCATCGTAGCTTAGCCCTCTTAATTTTAAAGTTTTTTGCATTGTCAAAAAATTAAAAAAAAACGGCAGTAACCTTCACTGGCACTCACAAACACATTAAAACTTGTATAGGTTTGTGTGTGCGTGTTTACTAACGTATGTCTAGTCTAAAACAATTTTGTTCTTATCTTAATAAATCCATGGAATTTTGGTTTTACGTGTTCCTTAAAACTCTGTTGATTGTCAGACAAATGAGGAGAAGCCAGGCAATGGTGCTCTCGATCTGGCCATATTATTGACAATGATTTGACCGCCATTGAGACTCATCACTGCACTACCCTCCGGTTCGGAGTCTGTGTAACTTGAATAATTTCGCACTGGCTTCGTTTTCTTCCAGGATTGACGCAGCGAGTCGTTGACATTTGCGTAGTGATTGACAAAAGAATGTGGATCCGACCGCACACTCTCGTTTTCGCTTTCCGAATGCTGAAATTGTATAAGGAGATGATGATCACATTTTTTAAAAAAAAATTATTTGTGAGGATCTTACATTTAATGTGTTAAATATATTAATTCTAAGCTGTAATAATTGAGCAGGCTAGAACAAATATTTTATATTAAATTGATATATAAATAGAAAAACAATTGTTATATATCAAAATTTAAAATTTTTGTGTTGTGTGGTGTTTATGCTCTTAAGAAAGGTAAGAATATGTCATTTCTATTGGAAGTGAATGATAAAATCCTACACATAAAATCTGCAATGAAATTTCTTCAATAATCAGATACTTTTGTTGTTTCTTGTGAATAGCAATAACATATGTAAATAGCATGGGCTAACATTCCAATACAATTTTCAAATTTTATATATTGAGCAATTATATCTTTAAAGTATGAAGAAGACTTGATTGTGTCTTAATTGAAGAACAACTAATTTATATGATAGATTTGGCGACAGATTTGTAATGATACATATATGGATGTATTATATATTTAATATAGTATTGTTAATATAATAAATGTTAATCTAAGGAATATGTACAAAGGACAGATACCTTTATTAGTATCAATCAAGACATGTAAAATAATATTAAGTATATACCTAAATGCATGTCACTGTTATCTGTTTCGGTATATTAAGCAGAAATAATTTTAATTTT